CCATGATTCTATTTCAGCCATAAATCACTGGCTTGAGACTCACTATCCACGATAAGAATGAAATGAACAGAAATGTTGCTTTTGTTTTAATAAAAAATTCGAAAAATCGAAAGAGCAACTACGCGTTCAAAATGCCCACGGACGTCTTTCACAAATGCTGGCAACAGGATGCTTCCACTTGGCTTTTGGAGTGCCTTCAAGAAACTTTTTCTCTCCTTTTGACTTATTGCATTGACTTCTCACGCTTCTACTCCATCCTGTTTTATCGATCGATTTGTATCTACTTTCCGAAATCGCGCTTCAACCCGGTCTTTCATTGCTTCGCCTGATACGTAGCCGGCCAAATGCCAACTTATTTTCGAGCCTCGCCTTTGGCTCCGCCCGAAATACCTTCGATTGTCCATGGAGTGTAGTTTTCGTACGTTTGTGTGTCTTTGGAAACCGAATCTTCATGCGTGAAACTTTGTGTACTGTTTCCAGTGATCACAACTGACACATTCACGCCAAGAAAGAATGCAAGAATTTTCCGCGAAGAATTCCTTTGATCTCGGCAAACAGTAATATTTAGCGTTTTCTTGTTCCAGTCTTTGAGATTGATACAGAATTTAACCCATTGCATACCGTGCCATTTTTTGCGCGTTTCTGGCGCCTTAAAACTCCCTGCCGCATGCTGCGCATTGGTATACAAAATTCATTCACATCATACAGATCTATTAAATAAACACTGCATATCATATGCATATATCCAATATATTTACAGTATTTCATATTTATGCTTGTTCAATGGAATCAATTATTCCCGCATGGTGAAGGGAAGAGGATAATCGCAAGTGCGGCAGAATTCAAAAAGTATTCTGAAAAAGATGACTAGAGAAAATTTTAAAAAAAAGTGATTGAAATGAAGTCGCTTTGTTGGTTTCTATCTATGAAGTTGTCGTACAGCGATTTTGATTTTACTACAATTTGGCACGAAAATTAAAAGAGTGCGACCACAGCTTAACCCTTTCAGATCTGAATTTTTCCCCGTTTAGAAATTTTTCTTCTAGCTATTGTTTATTACTTATGAGCATATAGGTATCATTATGGCGAAATTTGGAAGCTACTCGATCACAAACAAAGAAACTAAGAACCTTTGAAAATTGGCCCACCTACTTAGTTTTTAAGCTTATGTCGAAACAATTCCAAATTTCATAGTCATGCCGAAAAAGTTTATAACCTTGCACAACATTATGACCCATACTTTTGATTAAAGAATGGATCTACTTGAAGTATTTTAAGGAAAAGTGACACTTGGCTGTTGCGGGGTCAGCGCTCACTCATTGTTGCACTTGTACACGAATACTTGTAATACTAACAGCAACACGCAATGAAATGGCAGTTTTAGCTCATAATTAGGAAGGGGAAGGTTGACTGAAGCAACCTCTAGCAGGTTTAGACAAACCATGCTGTTTCAGCGGCAATGCAAGCGTTTGAATTTGGTGGTGGCAATTGCCACCGCCAGGGCCGAAAGGGTTAAAAAAGCGCCACTAATTTAAGGATTCCTCCACATTGATTGGTCTCAGGTCTGTATGATGTTCTCGAATTCAGAACTTCATTCTTGTAAGGTTAGAGCGCATAAAAATGTCGAAAATATCCGTTGAAAATCCGTGCTGCTCCATGTGCAGCACGCGGCCACACAGAGGAAAATCAACGGTACGCAATGGATGCAGTTCTGTATTAATCTTGAAGGCTGAAACAACAAACGTGGAATAGAAGTGTTAATGCTTCCTTTTCTTGGACGTTAGGATAGCCAGACAAACTGCCCAAATATGTGCATGAGGCATCGATGTGAGAGAATCGAGCCACTTTCTTCGAGGTACTTATTGGTCCAATGATCTCATCACGAACGATTAAGGTGATGATTGATTTGATGTAAGTAACGAAACATAAGGAGGAAAAATCAGTTATCGTCTCTCCACATTACACAGGATGTTGGAAGATGAAGCCGGGGACAAATTTGCGTGTGAAACGACCCCAATTCCGTGATAAACTCACATTAATTTTGCCCGAGCATCAGCATATTCTACATATTGGCACATGCTGGAGCATTTATAATTGAAATTCGGGCGTGTGTCTTCCTCTACTTAACTACGTCGCTTACAACTTTTCAGCTTCATCAACAAGTTTCCGATTATTTTCCATGGATAAGTTGCCATTACGGAAACTAGTAAGCTGCTTATTGCTTCACAACGAAGAAGCCTCTCACTAGACGTAATCCACATGCCCTTATGGACGTCATTGCCCCTCGTGAAGATGAACTCATATAAGCGAAGCTGTCTTATCGAGGCGGAACTTTTCAGTGAAATGACTACGAAGAAAAGAAATCGGATCACACAGTTAGTACATACATGGCTTAGTGCGACTCGGAAACTCCGTAGCGACATTGTTTATGAGTCCTGCTCCAAAGCAAAAGAAGTAAAAGCGGAAGGAAGGGGATCTACTGGTGGCCAAACGTTTAGCGGGAACAAAGCCATCGAAAGGCAGCGCAGTGGCCCACAAGCATATTGCGTGACCGAATTTAAAATTTAAAGTAGGATTTCGCTACCACAAGTTGTTTTTATTCGTTGAGATCGCTACGCTTCTTTAAGAAGTGGTTTACCATGGGATAAATTGCCCTGTAAGCAGAAGCGATAGGGCCTTTAAAGCGCCTTGAGGCGAAACAATCACAACTTTGGAACCGCTGACCCTTTGTGACTTCTTATCAATGCAGCCACTGAAGAAAATCAGAAACAGCAGACATTCTAATAGCTCCATTACATAAATTGTATAGACGACCAGTTCCATTGGTCATAAACGTCATTAGTCTGCCAACTTGAACCGCTTAATGGTACATTCCACGATCACCTAGCTGTGATCGTTGCGCTCGAAAATGAAGACGGAGGTGCTAATTGGGCCGTCCGCGAGCTAAAAGGAAAAACCCCATCGAAAACATCATAAATAATGTCCTCCCTGTTGGAGGTGACACGTCTATAGCAAAGGAGCACAAGGCTTCGAGGCGATAGACAGACTTTGAGACGAAAGAGCATAATGGAAGAGAGTGCGCAGGCTGACTCAGAGAGGTTCCGTCGTGAGTAAGACCCTCACCGTCTTCTTCACACCGGTAAGCTCCTCCTAGCGTCGTTGTCACGCACTTCAAAATCGAAGAAAAGTCTCATAACCTACCCTTGTTTGCTAGCGAAAGTTAATTGTCACAAATAGGTGATCCTGGAATGATTCCTTAAAGGTTCCTTTTGAACTTCAATTCAATCGCCATCAGAGAATTTCAAACTGCTAATGCAAAATTGCTAGTGCACCTCTCCAAAATCTATCTTGATTGGGAAAACCTGAACTTAGAAACCATGCACTGCTCAGGCTTCTCACCGTCATGGGGTGGTGCGGGTGATTCCTCGCAAACTGAAAATGTTTCTAGCAATTTCTTTCAATTTTTTGAGCATTTTTCTCCGACATTCACTGTGGACTATATATAATTAACAACGGAAAATCTTGCTATCATTCCTGGCATGTCGATCTGAAAGGACAGGACTTATTCCTTTCGAGCATCTTTTAAGCTAGCCACTGAACTGCACCAAGTTCGATGTTTCGTAACTGCTCAACTTTTTAGTGAGAATGCAAGGATGTCATTACGTCGAATGAACTAATTGCTTCTTCATTGAAAGACGTCATCGTTAACTTGTTATTTGCAATTAGATTGTTATAGAAAGTACAGATGCCAGTTTTGCACCGATGCTTTCCAAAACTCACTTTGACTGCTCTGAGGATTTTCTCTTCTGATTTGCTTATTGTTGGGACCATACACTATAAAATTTCGAAGACTCGAAGCGTTGAGCTGGAGAACAAGAGGAACATAGGGGACGGGAATTTTCGAAGTGCCTGCCAAAGTGTCCCTTTTTATATAAGGTATTGTATTCGTTTGGCTGCCCGTATTGTCTTGAAAAGAGAAGGGTTACTGTAGCCGTGTCAAGTGGGTGCTTTTAAGAAGTGCGATGCTATGGTTTTTTTTTACAGTTTTTCGAAGAATCTTGACCTTAGTTCAGTTTCGGTGTAAAGGGGGTCACGGCCATTTTGCAAGCCAGCAAAAATTGTTGTGACCTCTGTCTTATTGTTAGTGCACTCATTCCGCTATGCCTGGGGATTGCGTTCCGATTTCCGACAGCTTTTCCGAAAGGTTTTGATTTTTCAGGTAACGGAACCGCTGACGTGCGGGAGAAACAAGGACATATGGTTCATTCACTATGTCTCAGCAGGTAGCCATAATTGTATTATTTATTCCAACCACTGTTTTCTAGTATTACTACTCAGAGTCAAGTCTTCTTTAGCGAAGTAAAAAGAGAAGTGCTATTCCACAAAAGTGCTTTGAAGTGCCGTACTGATATTGGAATTTGGAAAACAATGCAGTTCGATGCTGGACGGTAATGTTGTTTAATGGTTTAATTGATTAAATAAATAATTAAATAGGTGACTGGTGAAAAAGATTTCCCGTCTCTTATATGTAGTTCGTAGCCCGCACCATTCGCAGGTTATCGGGCATTTCAGATCGCCACATCAATTTCCGTCTCATGGCATCCCCATCCCATCACTGACCTTCCTTCCGTCTGCGATTGCAACCGATAAACCTTGAGAAGAAAAACTCTGCGTAAGGACGTCGACCAATAGTGCACAGTATCCCATTTCCTACGGCACATTTCATCGCCCACATGCAAACAGAAGGATTCTTATGTACACTTAATGTTCAATAGTGAACCACTGATCGTCCGCGGGAAATATGCTTATCGTCATGTTGAGATATGGTTCAAAAGGGCTGACCCTAACCCCGCGTCAAGGACACGTTAGTGACGCCGCTTCAATCTCTGTTACAATAAGCACTTCGCCCAATCGCCCTTCGTTACTTCAAGAAAGGAAAAAAGTGATGGCGACTGTAGCTATAAAAGCGCCATTACGCTCTGTTTTGTCGGCACTTCACCATGCGCGTATTGTTGGCCTTCACTACTTTGCTGGTCTCTGCACAAGCTTTCCTATTCGGCGGTTTGAGTTCACTATTCGGTGGAGGATGTAATCCATGTGCTCAACAGTCTTACGCTGCCCAGGCTCCAGCCTATTCTGGCTACCAAGCAGCAGCTCCAGCCTATTCCTATCAAGCAGCAGCACCAGCTTACTCTGGCTATCAGGCAGCAGCCCCAGCCTATTCCGGTTACTCACAGCAATCATATGGAGGGTATGCTCAACCCTCTTATGGAGGCTATAGTGGGCACTCCGGTTATGGTGGAAGCTCTGGCTACGGCGGAAGTGGCGGCTATGGTGGAAGCGCTGGTTATGGTGGAAGTGCCGGTTATGGTGGAAATGCCGGATATGGTGGAAGCTCCGGCTACGTGGGAAGCGGCGGTTATGGTGGAAGCTCTGGCTACGGTGGAAATGGCGGCTATGGTGGAAGCTCCGGCTATGGTGGAGGCTCCGCTGGTTACGGTGGAGGCTCTGGATATGCTGTGAGCAGTGGTTACGGTGGAGGCTCTGGCTACAGTGGAGGCTCCGGTTATGGTGGAGGCTCTAATTATGGCGGAGGATCTGGTTACGGTGGAAACTCCGGCTACGCAAGGTAAGAGCATTTTCAAGCTCCATCTTATAGAAATTAAGGATATCAGTCGTTTAGTGGCCATCACGCATCTTATGGCCACCAATCTCGAGGATATCAGCAACCAGCTCCAGCTTTTGAAGAGCCAGCCCCAGTGGTGAGTGAATCGTCTTTCTCTGAAGGCTACGCCCAGCCAGCTGCTCAAGTATTCCAAGGCTCACGCCGACCTAGCTACGCTCCACAGGAAGCTGTGAGTGCTACTGTGATGTCTTCAATGATTAACTTCATGAGTTCTCAGGGAACTTTCTTTTCCTTTCCTTTCTTTGTTCTTTGTTTTTACTAGATTCAATTTAGGCACAACCAGCACCAGCACCTAGCTCTTATCAGCAATCTGCTCCAGTAGTTGAGAAGGTAAATGATGATGTTAGAATGCTAAGCTGTTGAGCACTACACAATAACTTCTATTCAGGTTACTGAAGTAGTCGCTCCAGCTCCAGCCTACAAACCGGCTTCCGTAGCAGCGGAATCCAGCGGTTATTGAAATGGAATCTCAGCATTTCGTCGATCTTTTCTTTGAACCTCAGGAACACAACGCATCGTTGCTACGCTTACCATAAATGCTCATAAAAAGTCCTTCTTTGATGTGTTTGTCAATTTTCCAGTTTTTATAGAAATAACTGATTTAAGATCTTCGTTTTGGAGTGCCTTGCAAACGAGCTCGAGGTAACAAGCGTTTCAAAATGAAATTCCTAGGAATGACGGGTTTTTCTCTATGTAGAAGTGCTTCCTATGAAGCCGGTCATGAATAAAATAGCCGTTGCTGTGTGCTGATTGCGTAAGCCACGATTGCACGGCTGTACGAAAATCTCGAGAACTCTGAAAGAGCCCTCGCTGTGTGCACTAAATGGTTCAACCGGCTAACGATTCTGGAAACGTTCTCGTTTTAACTCGGGTTGCCTTTCATTGAAACCAGACAGCCGGCTTTTTATTGAAAACCAGGTGGACGAGTGGTCTTAAGCCTTTATCACGAGCGGTATTCGGTTCATTCTTTGTCTAAGCAAAATTGAGAATATGCAAGAAATAGCGAATTCTGCGACAACCCAAACTGTTGTTATGAAATCAGACCAAATAGAGCAAAGATGAAACATCTTTTCAAAAAATTTCTGCCAAGCAAAAACGTTTCCATTTTCGAAAAGAATGTAGTACCTCTATCAGAAAAAGTTGGGGATCATGAAAAATATGAATCTGTTTTAGCTTATGGAAAGGTCATAGTAACCGTATTGTGCTTTGTGGCACTATAGCGAATCAAAACAAAACCTTACCTTCCCACCAAAAAGCGAGAGAATGTCGGGTGCAGAACAAACACAACAACTAACGACGGCCTCCAAGTATACCTGATTTGAAGTGTTCACAGTGATAACTGATTTCTGGTAAATAAAAGGATAAAGCATTTGCCGTTGATCAATCCCGTCTTGGGATGCGGCACGCATCCCAGCCTATACAATGATTTGCAGGGGCCAGTCGATGTTCAAGTCAGTGTTTTTATCCTCCCAGACAAGTGTGATACCGATTGACCGACCCCGGAGGGATGGAGGCTTGGTTGGCCCGGGCGACTCACGATCTAGGAATCCCCGAACCGCTCGCGTGGTGAGCGTACCACTTACCACTACACCACTTCCGCTAATAAGCGCCAAGCGCCATATAATATTTCTGGTAAATGATAGTTGTAATTAGTGACAATCGATGGAATGCAACTGCAACAAGCTAATCATTAACATTTTAACAGCATTAACATTTTGTGAAGGCCGTCGTCACTTGTGGTGCATGGTGTGCACCCGACACTTTCTCGCTTTTGAAGGAGAGGGTATTTTATGCTAACCTAAACAAAAGTTATATCAGCTCGAACGTTTTTATCCTGTCAAAATCTTTTCAAGCGTAGCTGTGGGCTGTCGCCTTGTTCAGTGTTCCGGTCGCTGGCTGCGCGGTACGGTATTAGACTAGATGAATACAACCTATTTATTGCTTAAACAAATAGAAAAGACTCCGATGCAAAGTAGAAACTGTCCTTCCTGAATTTAGTGAGCGGCTGGTTAAGGTATCGAATATTGGAATCCGGGTTCGGCTGTTGACCAAAGTCCCGTAACAGTCTCACAGTTCGACCTGAAAGTAGATGTAGGAGGTAACGAATAATAGCGGTATAACGAATACGTAGATTCCCGTCCTTAAGGCTAGTCAAGGACTGACGACCGAGCTTATCAGTACCAGGATCGGTGACGGTGGAGCCGAGGCGCGGAAGTCAAGATGGAAGAAGCGGCTAGCGCGCTCTTCAACGACTGATGACGAGAGATGAAGAACGGAGAACGAAGAATATATCAAACCTAGCGGAACCTGATGAGTTTGACGGAATCTGATGAGGATAATACTGCGAAGCTATTATACAGTTTAGATACATGATTGTTGTAAACCTAAAACATCTTTCTGTCGACACAATTTTCCCCAAAGAACTTTGGAACAAGGACATCCCAAGCCTTTATTTTATAAGTGCTACCAAAACAACGTGGCATAGCTACCTACTTGCCTGGGAATACTGAACAAGACAGTTGCGTTTTGAGACAGTTGCCCTTAGGCCCCGTTCATAGATCGCGATAAAGCAATTTGGCGACTTGGCGATTATGTTGAAAAAAATGTATACAAATGACCGAGAGATCATCGACTTATTGCATCCACTAACGGTCATTGGTAAGTCGCTTTATCACATAATCGCTGGATTTTTAGACCAATACGTATGTTTTTCAATCAGCATAATCCCCAAATCGCAATAATCGCGATCTATGAACGGATCTTCGGAGGGTTCGATGACAATTTATTTGAACGATCTAACAATCACAAGCGTTTTGCCTTCGTGACATGGGTGTCGGAACTGATAATTATCTTAATAAAGTGGTTGTGGGCGTTCAATATATTTTTAAATTAAATAATCCATGCTGCATTCAAGCAATTCACAGTGATAAACCGGTGATCGCGCCGTCGTAATGTAAAAGTGCAGAAATCCATCAAGGAAATCTATTCCCTGTTACAGCCTCAAGTCGCTCGTCTTGCTATGTTAGGCTACATCAACGGCAAAGGCGTCTCAATAGTAACTAAAGAAGCGAATGCAATTCCTTTCTGTGACGACCGAAACTTTAGTACGAGTACATGGCGTGCCCTAGGGTCACCCTTTGAACTTTAGCACCCTTGCATTGAAGACTTTTTCCGAATTTAGGTATTATTTATAGCAAATTACACTGAGTGACTAAATACAGGAAGTAATTTGAAATTGCTGTCCGAAACACATAAATATACTTCCGCTGTCTCAAGGCCAGGTTCTCTCTCTGGAAGTGAAAAACTTCTTGCAAATAAAACAGAGATAAAAATCATTTCCTTACCGCTTCCGGCTGTTATCGTCATTTCTATCACATCGCAACGACAGATACGGTAATCAAAGTGCGTGGCAGGGTCAACCCTACGTTGTTACGAGTAACAACGGGGGGGGGGGGTTACGTCACTTAGTCGTCAATACACGTAGTAGGTTGAGGTTGATGTGAAACTAAGATCGGCGAAATTTCCGGCGATATATCCCCTCCCCGCTTGACGGCATTCTTGGAGAAAAAGTGGGCGGGGTTTTGATGGAAGATGGTGGAAAAGGGGGTCGTACCACATCCCCGTTGGGGGATGGAGTCGTAAAAATTTTTTTGAAAAGTAACAACGACAGGACAGACCCTGGTGCGTGGTCGATCGTTGGCCCTTTGAATGCCTTTGCAAAGGTAGCATGCGAATTTAGTTGTTCATTCTTATGTGAATACTACACTGTTTTTCATAAATATAGGTAATTTTTGCTATTCCAGACTTGCTTTGCATTTTTGGAAGATGCTGCTATCACCAATGGATTTTCCATAACGAAAAACCTTGATAATGTTTTTCTGAAGAAATTTCCCACCTACGTGACCTAAATAACATTTTGAGGAGTAATTTTCACCGTTTCATGAATATAAGGTCACTAATGAAAAATTCCCATTTCTCATCATCCGTGAAGGGATCTAGGAACGCGAGTATATGTACGAGCTTGGTCGGCATCAGGTTTAACATGCCTCGTTGTACTCGCCTCTCTCCTACTAACAAGCGCAAGCCGAGCAATTACTAAGTTGGATGGCTGAGGAGCAGAATTGCCTCCCATGGCCGGCTCATACTGCATAAGGATCTATGTGCAAAATCCTGATCAGTATGGAAAGGAGAGTAGCCCAGTCGATAAGGGCTGCTTTTATTCAAAATTTAGGAGGAATTGAGCGTCTTCTGTCCAATTATACAAGGACTCTAAACAATGTCCGTGCTAAAATGCGACCTTCCGTTAGCAGAACCGTCTGGCGGGCAAGCCAGCCGAGCAAGAAGATTTTTAGCAGGTCGATGGAACGCGTTTTAAAATTACCGAAGCGCTACAAGATCGCCTGTCCATTTCTCCGCCTTTCTCCGAAAACGCCTCATGTAATTGAACGAAGCTGGCTGTTAATACCCTTCGCGATCTTAGACTAGACTCCTTGTTTCATCGTCAGGTGATCTTGGAACGACGTGAAAAAATTTAGTCTAGGTGGATCTGATAGAAAAGAGGGTACAGGAGGTTCCGTGAAAACCACAGATGGTTCCAATGTAACGTAATTTCGGCGGTGAATCCCTTATGGTTTGAGGCATCTTTAAACAACTGAGCAGCTAGAGCTCGCTTTGTTTCCTTTCATGTGGATACCATAGGGTATTGTAAAGTTCTTTTGAAGCGCCTTTTACCATTTTTCCGACAACAATCCCCTCGATCCGTGATTTTTATGCACGATGACGCTGCTATCCATGCCGGTCCTTCTACGCTAGATGGAAGTGCAAGAAAAAATGTGGCAGTTTTCGTGGCCCGCATGTTCTCTGAATCAGATCCCAATGGAGAATCATTGGCCATTAATTGTGAAAAAGTTCTTCGTTCAAAGCAAAGCAAAATGGAACGGTCAGAGAGCTGAAAACGTCAATTATCACCTCGATTCTAATGTGAAAGCCAGCGTGGTCACAAGCATTCAAAAATGCATTATTGTGGTCTCTTGATTGAATGAGGACTACCCATTATTTAGAACTTGTTATGTTCTTTTTGTTGTAGTAAATTTCTCGACAAACGATGTGTGCCATATTTGCGAGTTAGTGGGAATACGTTCCGAAGAACATATTTTGATAACTCAAGATCGAAATTTTCTTCAGAAATCTAGCATCAAGGTTTTTCGTTACGAGGAATCCATTGGTAATAGTATTTTCCAAATTTGCACAGCAAGTTTGGAGTAGCAAAAATTCGTGGTGGATTTATATTTATTGTGTATTTAGTGTATGGTATAGTCTCTTCCACGCTCAAGAATTCCGAGGTTGCTATACTGAATCAAATTGTTAATTAAATGTGTTATGCTTTGTATCAAATAATGCACTGCAGTTGACGTTCAACATGAAGCTACGCATTAAAACAACTATTTAAGTTAATAAGTGAATTGAAGCCAGGTTGTTCTGGAAGAGGAAGAAACGCTGATTTGCCCATCGTCTGACCTCCGCAGCTCATTACGTAGCCCAAACGAGAATCCAAACGTTACTGCTCTCTGGAATATCTGGTAAGCGCCTCAGAGCGATTACAGTCAACTTCTACTGTATTGGTGAAGCGCTCGCGCAACCGCATCACTGTTTGAAGGTAGTGCGTCCCACCGGAATATTAACACGTTGACGACATCGCGTGTTTTGGCACTTTGCACCGCGTGGGACAGGGGCGATTTTGCGAGCGCGCCGCCTTACCTTCCGCTTATTTTCTTTTTTTCGTCCATTCCCAACAACCTGAATCTCATAGGATCATTTTGGCAAGGATGAAATCGTGGAGGTGACCCATACAAATTGCAGCAGAATTCAATCTGAAAGAGCGCATAATAACTAGGAAGAAGCAAAAACATCACTTTCGCTTCGAATAAAGGCTAAAATAGGGGAGGTCTCCGTACGGGCGTAATCGGTGGTTTTGTTTGCTTTTCTTCTCTTTTACGGACCACCCCCCACCTATAACTATAACTGAACGCTTTTCCACACCAATTTTATCCCGAATCTTGTCTTTAATTAGTTCAATTAGGCAGCATAATCGCTCTTATCTGTTGAGCCTCTTATCCTGATAATTTTGAGGTTGAGTGGAAGGTGTGCTAATAAGCCCTCCATCCCCTTTATACCATGCTCTCCCTTCCCCTACTTTAGTAACACAGAAGGTTGTTAATAGTCATGCCCTTACCCCAACATGGCAATCTAACCCAAGAATCACAGTCGCTAGAAAGTCACCCTGCACTGCAGTGATTTATTATGGAGTCAAGGAAGTAACACGTACTGGTGCTAGATTGACAGTGAGTCGGTCTCAGTGGTTGATTTGATAAACTGCACAGACCCACCCAGTTCATCGACACCATGACACACGTGGTGTAGTGCCCTTGATGTTAGATCATTAACGGAGATTCTCCGATTCCGAACTTCACACTCATTCTCCACATAAATTTTCACTATTGTTTTCAAACGAGAATTTGACACGATGCTGCAGCACATGTGTCACCTTTGGAAACTTGATCGGTCTACATACCTTTCACTCTGGTTGTCCCGTGCTTGGCCCACTACATCAAGGCTGACCAGGAAGGTCTTTCAGGGCGTGACGAGCTCTTTGAAAACGGTCTTTTGCATGATATAGGGGCAGGCGCGGGAACCACAGAACCACGTTCAATTTTTCCTGAACGGCCCTATGAATACTAGAAAAGGGGGTCCCTAGTTCGATTCTTCTTAGTGACAAATTTTTGCATTTCGAGCTGACATTCCAAAATTCGCGCAAAATGAAGTTCTGATTGTTCCTAGATTGTTCTAAACTCATTTTGCGCAAATTTTGTCACGTCAACCGAAAATGACAAATGCATTTGTTAAGCCAGAGAATCGAACTAGGGACCCCCTTTTCTAGTATTCATAGGGCCGTTCAGGAAAAATTGAACGTGGTTCTGTGGTTCCCGCGCCTGCCCCTATATCATGCAAAAGACCGTTTTCAAAAAGCTTGTCGCGCCCTGGAAGACCTTCCTGGTGAGAGCAACGTGACAATCGACAAGAAAACCACAGTGGAACGCGATTTTCACCGATTTTTTCCCTTGTATTTTTCTCGCACTTTTTATGACCAAGGACCATTCCTTACGTCCTGCTCCGAAACCACCTCATCCATCACCTTGATGCTGGAACCTGATGCCAAAATGAAATGGAAAAGTATCAGAAAGTTTGAACTTTTGATACGCCACTTGAGAACTCATTGTGTTCCAAACACTTCTTGCTTTCTGGTGACTTGCGGGGGCCAGTCGATGTACAAGTCAGCGTTTTTAGACAATTCTGGTACCATTTAGGCAACCTCCGAGGGATGGAAGGCGTGGTTCGCCCGGACGATGCACGACCCAGGACTCGATCCCCGGACCGCGCACGTGGTAAGCGTGCCACTTAGAACTACTGAGTTTACTGATACTATCCGTGGGTTTTGCGGATAGTATCAGTAAACTCAGATTCAAATCAGATTCCAGTTTTCTAGAGTTTAAATTGTTAGCTGGTCTTAAATTGCTGAATCATTTTTGCTGAAGCGTCATGACGTTGCCACTAACACAATGGGGGGCACAGCCGCGCTCGGGCAGTGTGATCAGCTGCTGCATCATGGGTTGAAGAAAGAGTATCCCTTTGTTCCTCGGGATATGTTCGATCATCTCTGAGCCAAGAGGATAACTATTTGGGAAGAAGTAGATACGATCAAAGCTGAAAGCACAAATTCTGCATGTTCTACAATCATATTTAAATCTTTTCACGCATTCTAAAGCAGGAAAACGACAGACCAAGTGGCTCAGTAGTCACAGACGATTTGTGAAGAGTTTCTCAACAATCACAGCAAACAGAATAGTGCCGTTTAAGAGGTGACCCTCGTGAGGTAGATAGAAAACCGTGTCCACCGATCAGTAGCCGGGCCTACAATCAGCCAGGCACACAGATGGCGTAGAAGCCCTCCGCGCATCTGAAATCTTTCTGCGCTTATGAAACAGCTGCCTGAAGCACTTCTAAAGATGGTTCCATTTGGGTGTGGTTCACTGGGAAAGAAAACGACTTTTCCGCTTTTCGTAACTTGGTGCTTTTATTGCTTCGGGATCCCAGGTCCACCACGATCAGGAGTGGACCTCTAGGGTCGTCCGCTGAATGTTGGGGAGGGGATGGGGATGGGGAAAGGTTGAGGAGGTCCGTCGCAGTACCCACTGGGCAACGGCCGCACCTTTGATTTTGTGGCTTTGTTTCCATTCTTTCCCGTTCTTTGGACGAAGAAAGGTATTGACGAGCGAATATGCAATCAGGAACAGTAAAAGAATGGAAACAAAGCTGTAAAATTAAAGGTCCGACCGTTGCATTGTGGCTCCTGGACGAACCTCCTCAACCTTTCCCCCATCCCCGTTCCTTCCCCAACATTCAGCAGCCTCTGGTTATCGCGGCAAAAAAATTTCGCGTGCGAAAAGCGGAAAAGTCGCTCTCTGATCTAGTGGATCACAACCCGTCTATTTTATACTACGAAAAGAAAAGGGGTTTAACAGATCTGAATCTACGGATATTCGGAAGTGAACACCAGAAAGCTACTGCCAGTTGCTTGGTCACGACGCGACTGTGTTTGAAACACGGCGGAAGTTTCTCATGATCAGTTCTTCCAGGAATATCAGCAGTTTCTATAGAGCAATACTATCAAATTGTTCCGTGTTGCCTCAACACCCCTGACTCACACAGAGCTGTGTGAAGGCCGCATGGATTATCGCGGCTAACAAACGCGCTCCAATGCGATTTTGCGCAGTTTATGAGAACTATTAGCTGTTGCTGTCATTTCTGTCGCCGTTTTCTTGTCATAGCGAGTCTTCCCTGACAAAACATCTTATATAATCCTATCGATTTTGCTGTGGCATCATTATGAATAAGCTTCAACTCAAATAATTGAATCTAACGGTTCATTATTACCGTAGTAAGCTGCTCCACCTGTCACCTATAAGACTGGTTTTTTCCTGTTTTAACTGGAATATTCCATGCATTGTGATTGTGTTCGGCGACAATTCAATCAGATAATTTGCATGCTTAAAAAATTCAATTGGCAAGCTTTCTTAGAAGACTAGTAACCTTACAGCTGACCAGACTAATGTGTGCATGCTGCTTCCAGGGTTTTTGTTTTTGGTTTTGGTTTCTCAGGCCATGGCGTTAGTCAATCGAAATCATACAAGCAACGACATTTCCTTTCATATCATTTCTGTGCTGTGATTCAGTGACATTTTAAACATGACGAACAGACTGTTAGATGAACAAATGGAAGTTCAATTGTTTTCGAGATGAAAATATTGGTACTACACGGTGATGCTTCAAGAAACGAAAAGAGGCAACGGATTGTTCGTAGATAGAAAAGCCAGACCAGTTCATGGGTCCGCTCAGTAACCAGTAATGAGTTTTCATTTTATAGTGACGTACCGCATCCTCAAATACACGGTGCTGTTTGCGGGATATCCCTGCAGCTTTTTTTCTGCTGTATTCGATTTTAAATGCACTCAGTCGTTTGCGTTCTGTTTCTGTTTGCAGATGTCGGCGATTGCTTTGTAGTATTTAGAAATGTTTGATTTCCTATGCTGACTAACATCATATGGCACAGGATTACACGGACCCGGAGCTGCAGTTAGCTCTAGAACTGAGCAAGTATGTTGTCACACCTTCAGTAGAAGTTGAAACTACGTAAATATAAGAAGTTCAGTTCGTGGGAGACAGTAATGTGCAGTGGAGGTCTAAAGTAGTGGCTCTAATGCATGGAAGTCGAGCGCGCGTTCGCAGAGCACCCCAGTTTCCATCACTGCAATTGCTGTTTTCTTTATGTCCTTCATTATTTCCAAGTTTCTGAAGCTTTCCTTTAGGAAAACATTTGAAGAAGAGGAGCGGCGGCGGAATGAAGGACAAGATTTGATTCGTTTCGAATCTCCTGAATCACCCTTGAGAAGGGAGCAGATAAAACAAATCAATCGGCTTTATAGCCAGCCGAGTTTTGAATCATATCTTACGTGAGTGAGCTTTCGATTCGTAAATATTAATGTGAAATTTTTACAGGTTTTTTTTTCCAGGCCGACCCATGATTTTACGCAAACTTTCAACACTAATCCCACTACGCGAGGCTATACTGCTCCCCAATCTCAATATCCTAGGACTGTTAATCCTGCACCACTTTTCGCTTCCGCATCATCGCATTCCTTCGATGATCGCTCGTATCTGAATAGCACTGCTCCTTCTTCTTTACCTCCGCTGGCGCCACCGTTGCCTCCAAAAGCACAATATAGTCATGTGTTCCCTCCAGCTCCTGACTTGAACAGTTGGTTTCATTCACACGCTTTTATTTTTCTTGTCCTACGTGCATACTATTCCTTTGACTTTTGCGCTCCTCTGGAAACTGAGACGGCGATAGGAGCTGACGGATCAATGGTTTCGATTTTCAGTGCGCTACGAAACTCCTCCTCCTCTGCCGCCCAGACTACATTCTACAAATACTTCACGATCACTCAACAACATTCCATCCATTTATCCTGGTCTGTTTTTTTTTCATTTGCTTTCTTAATTTCATTATATATAAGTTGTTTTACACTATCTATGTTAGAATTTGTTCTTTTTCTCTTAATTTGCCATTTTCCTAACTGTACGTTAAAGTGGAAGTCATTTTTGAAAGAAAATTTCCAGCTCTTCCTGTATCTACTTCGCAACGCTCATCTAGTGTAGTTAAGGATGAATTCGAGCTGTTCCCAACACCGAGGTAATTGTTGGCATGAATTGGTTGTTTTTATATTTTTTCCCTTGTTACTTTATAGGAAGTGCAATTGTGAAGTACTTATTCTTGAAAGTGCACGTGTAATCTATCAGGCTGAAGAGTAATTTCGTTTTTTTTTCTTCAGAAATCTTTGCATAATAATTCTTCGAGATTTTGGTACCATTTCAAAGCGCAATATTTATTTTGTAGCAATATAGATAACAGATTGCTTTAAGTGATGACACCTTCCCCACTTGTTATTAAAGTGGCTCCACATCCTTCTGCACCCAAACTTGGTACAGTAGGTGTCATTTGATAAGTTTAGGCCCATTTCTGTAAACCTCAATCCAGCTTTGGCAATGACGTTAAGTAACATGTTCGTTTCAGTGCGTCTGGCCAGAATAATATTGATAGTTGTTGAAGTGATATTAAATGAGGACCTTTAATGAAGACCTGGATCTATGTGTTATTAAAGGAACCGCGCTCTTTGACATGACCCCATAATTCTAAGGAGGTGGCAGTGAAATCAAGAAGATGTCTCATAAGAAACTTACGCGCTTTTCTACAATCTCGTGTATACATCTCAGCAGCACATTATGGAAATTCCTTATGCGATTCCGTTCGTGTGTTTGGAAAGAGTGCAGAAGGGTGTCTGTTCTGAAACAGCGTGAAATAAGTTAGGTGGAAGGTTAACTAAAGCATTGTTTTTTCCTTAGTATGGGCGGTATCAAGAGCATTCTTTTGCCGTCTTTATTAATACTATTATCAAGCAATGTGATGCTCTTCGTTGTATCGATTTCAGTTCGTTCTGTAGTTTGCTTAGAAAGAGTTCAGAAAAAGTTTAGTAACAATATTTTCCTCCAACTGGATGATTGAGCTTTTCTCAGCGCCAGGAAATATTTGGATTGACGGCTAGAAAAGAAGTTGGGGTGTACAGTTTCTGAACTATATCCTCCCCGAAACGGCACTTCAGGTGGACTTACGAGCTTTTGGATGGAGAGTCAGAACGAACCAAAAAACGCAGGGTATGTCTAATACTGTGTGAAATTCCACAAAACTTTCTTGCGTCTGACCAATCGTGTAGGAAATGCATAGGTACCGAGAGGACCCCACAGTACATGAGCGAGGAACGAGCAGGGTGGGCAACGCAAAGTGGCCCTAATTTCCTATCCGAAGAAGGTTTCGTAACGTGCATGTTTGGAGTTATGATTTCATCCTAGCGCTTCGGACGTTGTGCCCTACGTCAATGCCGACTTGTACGTGCCATATACAATGTGCTCGAACCGTCTTCTAAACGGCGACTTGATCGACCTGGGATCGTCCGATGAACAAGAGCAATGTCCGCTTGCCACATTGGAGCAGGTGAGCCGATATTGATTTCCAATTCATGTTTTTCTTTGATAACATGACCGGTACAATGTACCTTGGCAGTGTACATGTACATGTTGACATAGTTTCATGTGATCTTGCGATTTTTATACGGTTTCTGCTTTTTCCTTTTAACTCTATTTCTTTCATATGTCCTGCGGCAATAAATTCCTATATTCAGACATTTTCGCAGTGTTCTCACATATAAGAAGCACGCGTGCAGTTTGGGTCGCTATTTATGAAACTTGCTTGACTACCGCGTCTATTCATTTTCAGTTTTACAACGGCTACAGCGGTTTTACACTTGTTATATATCAATCGCCATGCTCTTTTGTTTTGATTACACAGAATTCGCCCTTTTCGTGCGTTTTTATTACGGAATCAAAAAGAAAAAACTGTCTCGTTTGCATGGTGCACATGATTTTGTCCTTCTTAGTCGAGTTTTGAAATAAGTCATGCAGAGAGAGCGGAAACCTTTTTATGCTTTCGATGACCATTTTCTATAAGCTATAGAAATGTCCAGGTCCAATTTCTTCTTGTTTTTTCTTCTATTCTTCTATTCGCGCTCGAGGTTACCCTCTGAATTGATTTTCCTTTGCAATCTTTTTTTTTGCTCAACCTTCTCATAGATATGGGAGTCGTAGCCATTATTTATCATAGCTTATTCATTACTTCGCTCTCAAGAGACCTTTCATCAATCTCTCCTCAATCTCAGATTCGCCGTGATTTCGACCCTCTTTATCGCTCACCTGAAAAGAACGTCCAGATAGCTTCTACCATTCCGTCCTCACGTACTGTCGATAGTGGCCCAGAGCAAGGTGGGGAATGCTTTTTTAGGATCGATTTTCTGATTATTAATTAGTGACTTCATTGATCTGTTATAGTTGGGATAGGAACTGCTGCAAAACCACAGTCAAGGCAATCACCTTATCAGCAAGATGAGAACAAGGAAAATTATGAAAACGAATGGTTTTCCTTGGACTGCATCCGCCTTGAAAACCATGTGCCTTCTGTTATGCGACAGGTATATCTTTAAGAATTGATCAGAATTTTTATTAATCCTATATGAGTTCCGTGGCATAAAGGGTTACCAAGTTCTTCCACGTATTTTAGATAGCCATTGTCAAAGAACGGGGCATGAAAAACTGTACGTCAACATCACTTTATTTCATGTCTCCGATCGCAGATTATATAACAACATCGGCGCTGAGTGTTAAAGTGGTTGTTAGCAAGGATTACACGTGAGTTTTCAGGCCTGACAAACGGCGTTAAGTAAGCAGCAAATCAGCGGTGTCTAGGGATGAGTAGGGAATTTTTAAGAATATCAAGAGTGGCAGTCATAGCACTTGGAAACAGTGCGTCCCACATTCCTTTCGTTTCTGCGATCTTGCAGACATTTCGGTGTCGATGATTTGACTTTGACTAAAACGAGTTGTCTAAGTTGATAAGTTTATTTAGATAATCATTAGTTCTAATAACTTTAGAATAAGCTGTGGCTGAAATGTTGAGTAGAGGCGGTCACGGCAATGCTATCATATGATGTGGTAATAAATATTTTCAACAAGCTACAAGGTTTTGTAGTAAAATCGTACCCACTTTTTCTGAATATTGTCAGTTGCTGCAGTGCGGTGCAAACACACGTTAATCAGTCAACCGAGTGCTCAGTAAACCCTCTCGTTCTGCAGTGAAGATGTCAAATCTCAGTAGTCGTCACATCTATATTCGTAAAATATCTATTTCATTACATAAAAGTAGGCAACAAAGGGATGTGTTTGTTTCTGAAAAAAAATATTCTCGTCTGGTATTTCAGCTGGCATCAGAACGGGCAAATGGAATATCAGCTTGTGTGCAATACAGAAACTTCTATAGATTTGTTGATCACTCAATTGCTCACTGGTTTGCTGGACGAGTCTGACATGGCAGACGGTGTCCCTGTCGAAAAATACGGTCTCAAGGTTAGTCGCTTAGCTTACAACAACAGTTTATGTACGCTCTTTTTCATTAATTACTGTTATCTGGGCATTAGGCGATTGTCGGTTCCAGGGTTGCCTGTTTGTTTTTGGTGTTGTTGTGCAGGTTTTAAGAATTAGTCAGATTTACCCTTTTAATGGGTCGCCCTAATCCCTCAATTGCCCATGTTTGCGTTCCTCATCGAGGCATGCCGCTTCACTTTTACAGTGGGCGTCGAGCTGTCTGCTGCCGTTCTAGCGTCACTATATTTTCAGATTTTTGGATTGGACGAGTTTCTTCCTAAGACGTCTGCTCTAGGAAATAACTTATACGTTGGAAATTGTATTCTCCATGGCAAAGATGTAAAATTGGAGGTAATTTCCTAGTCGTTTTGTTTTGTGATGATTTGTTCCGGAATTTATTGAAAGATATCAGATTGGACGATTTGAACCAACGTTTATTCGTTCTTCGAGCCCGGCTCCAGCATGGGAGAAAACGAAGTAAGTTCGGTCGTCGTCATTATCGTCTGTGCTTACTCGGTATTTGATTCGCAATTCCAGAACGCAGTTCAAATTTTCGTCGGTGTTAGACAAAGAGGATATAGAAAACATGATTGTACACCTGAAATCTGAAATGGCGGAATATGAACAAGCGTTTCGATCCACGTCAACGCTGAGCGGTAGGCTTCTCATCATTGTAACTCTGGTTATCAGACCATTTGTTTCTGTATTACAATATCAAATTTCGTGACTTTCGTGCCGTGCCGTCAGGTGATGCTTTTGAAACTAAATCATTGCTCTTATTGACAACATGGACGCCATTTGAGCCATTGTTTCTAAACCATGCCCATTAATATGCCGAGAATCGCAATAAACACAGGGTCTTCGTCACCTTTACTGAACAGAAGCGATGATCAAAGCTGCCGATTCCATGGCTAAACGAAATTTACGGCATGCAACTGCCTATATTACAAATCAACTCCACGCACAAACGACAGAAAGTGTTCATGTAATGCGTATTGATTCTTCACCAGTGATTCGACAACAAATTTGGAGCAATGACGATTGCGCCTCTGCAACATGTGTAGCAAAACTTGAACGACTTCACACGACTTGTGGATAGATGAATTTCGCCGTCTAGTTAAAATTTGTTCATGACGCATCCCGCCTTTGAGTAGCTATTGTTGGCTATAGTGAGACGTTTTCGCGTAGCTTATTTCGACACTGTGTTAAAAAACGGGCGGATCCCTTCAAGGATATAGGTTTGGGGTGGAAAATTCTAAAGTATGTCATTGTCCTGCAGTGGTTTCAGTCCTTGGTCGTTTCATAGTCTGACGTGTCACCCTCAGTTTCTGAAGGTAAAGGGTCAGACGAACCCATGGGAAACAGGAGCGGCTCGTTTTTCTCACTTTTCTCCTATGGACTCATTTACTTTCTTTATACATAAGGTTTCACGAATCGTTTTTGCTACCCTAGCGTTAACCTAGTTCTTTTTGATTTACTTTAGCGTTTCGATACATTTTTGATTAATCTAGTGTAGATTAAATATGCAGTCAAATGTGGCTTGGGGTAACCTACTGTCAGTCCGGTAACATTTGATCTATACCAGGCTTGCGAGTTAGCTGTAGCCAGCGTTTGCATGCTTAGAGGCGAACCTGGTATTGCTTCCTGTGCCTTGTGGAGGAAGATTTTGATAGGTTTGGTGATTTGATTAGGGGTTTTCATGGTTTCACTACCTGAATTTGTCACATAGTTGTTACTTAAGGTAAACCAACGCGCAACATAATCCGAAAGGCCTCACTTCTCGGATGGAATGCCGTTTCGAATTCATACGGTTTAATTGTGAATTTGAAATTTCTTAGTTTATGGTCTACTATAATTCCATCCCGTTAGCATGGATACACGAGAGCGGGGACAAGTAATCGTATTCTCTTTAATTTTTCGCTTTACAGTCTCAGCATCTTCCAACAAGGTTCGGCAGTGTGTGAAAATGTTGTGTAAGTTGATCAATTCTATCGAACCGATGAGCCTCCACCAGCATTTGCAGAAGTACCTAACAGCTGCTACGAATGTGAGCTTGTGGATAGAAAATTGCAGTGTCTTCCTTATACCAATTCTATTAGTACGACCCATCAATTGCAGGACCAACTGAATTATGCTCGAAACGATTTCATTGCCTCATTACACAGTTTCATATCAGTTTACTGTCAGTGCACATTGAGCTATTACAAGTTAGCTCCCCTCAGAGTGAGTTTGTTTGCTTTTGACCGTTAACTGGTGTTTTTGGCCGCAGTTCGCATTGCGAAAGTTTGCAAGAATGCTTGGTTATGAACAACAGTTATGAACAAAAGCCTGGAGCAAAAATTTTTTCGAAACCTAGCATTCTTTTGAGTAAGTTTGGTTTCTATTCCACGCAATATCGCTATAATTCTTCCTTTTTTTCTAGCAATTCAACAAACAGAAAAAGGAGATTCTCCATTGCAAGGAAAAGCTTGCAGTAAAAGTGGACTCGGTTCACAACTTGGTGGAAATGTGGACGAGGTAAGCTTCAAATGGTTCAGTTCCCTAGACATTCTACCAGTTTTCTAATGTAAGGCAGTGATCGAAGATATTTGTCAGTCTGTTATCGTAGATCTCACGGCATGAAAGAGCAATATGCTCACATTAAATTATACAATGAGGGCATAAATTCGGTTATCAGCTTCGTCTCTAGAACGTGCAGCAATGTTACAGCGAACCAAGTTCTTGACCTCATCAACTAATTCTTCATAGGTTTTTGCATATATTTCTATGATTCTTGATTTCATGGATTTATTCGTTGAATGGATTCACTTTGTCCGAAAGAACATGCCTGGTAGCCTATCGCCGTCATCTATAGGCTTCCCACGACCTGCCGTATTCGGAGGATGCATCGTTGAAGCGTTAAATCACTTTGGAAAGGGTGCTCTTAATTCTCTTTTCTCCCTCTAAGAAGTGCCGATTACGGCAGCTAAACAAGGGCGTCGATATTGTTGAAAAAATATCTAGCCTTCTGTGAGAAGCATGAAAAAATTAGCTCTGCGTAGAAGCCACCCTTACATGATGCCAAAACGGCAAGCCTTTCGAACCATGCGGAAGAAAAGCAGGGTTTAATGTATTGATCACTTTCAACGTGTTCACGAACGATGCTGCTCTGAGGACCGACGCAAAGGGTCACGGTTGAGAAAATCTTCAACAAGTACGTCTCTAGATACCCCGTCAGCATGTCTGAAGAAGCGGGAAAGCAGCTATATCGTCTCTAGAGGCGGGCAGGGATCTGCTCAGCGATGAGATCAACTACAGCATCTGCTGCCTTACCTATTCACTTGGTTTTTGCAGCGAAGTAAAAATGCCAAATGTTACTATCGGGAGAGTTTCAAGGAAAGCGATCGTACGCTGACCTTCAGGATTGGATTTACCTGCAGGAGGATGTGTCAGCTCGCACATCAAATTTGGTGGGATTCTGGCCCTGAGACATCTTGTTCGACTTTACGTTAGACGAATAATGTTCAGCTGATTCCCTTCTACTTGACTTCACATTTTATTTTAATGCGGCTGATATCGAAGCTGCAGACCTGCAGAAAACAATGCAGATCGACTCCGTAGTTAGCAGCGCTGCGAAAAGCATGGGATGAAATTTTGAAAGATGTCGTTCGGGCAGAAGTCGATATCTGTAGGTATCCATGCCGAATAACAGTTATTTACAATTGCTTGTTTAATAAAGGTTGGTAGTAAGTGCTATCTTGCTGTTCGTTTCTGCCCTAGCTGGTTGGATACAGAATAAAACCAAATATTCATCGCCATGATTTTGCCACCGTTTACGCCCCGCCCTGTTTTTTTTTACTTCAGCGGTGTCCTAGACAAGCCAAAAAGCTGAATAGGAATTCACTAAGCTGAGGGGAATCTTTTAGTGCCATAAGTTTCTTCGTAGGGATTTCATTTCCATTGTAAACAATTTATATTTCAGAGATTATTCGGCTTTTTTCGTTACGGTGAATGTGTACTATGGAACCCAAGTTTTGGCTGGCCACAGTAAATGCATATCTAAGACAGTAAAACACGATGCCTTCTTCCCTTACATTCCCATAAACGTCTACGTGAGTGTTTTATTCTCCTTATAATATGACTGTATATGTTCTTCAGATCTTAATTATTTCAGGCGTGTTTCGAAGATATGTTATGTACTTGCCCGAGGGAAACGAAGATCATGTTCATTTTATCGGGGATTGCCGTTGAACCAAACGCAAGCTCTGGTGATGGGCCAGAGAGCACACAGCGTCCGTTGGCGTTCGCTTCGTTGCCGTTGTTCGATCACGAAATGTGGGTATTAATTCCTGTATTGTTCATGTTCCTTGATAACTTTCTAGAAATCTGTTCCACTTATACGCAAACATCCCCTTAGTAGCTCAGAGAACGATTTGAGTTACGGGGAAGAATGTGAAAAAATTTCAGGATTTTACGGCAGGGCCAGGTGTTTATTCCTCTAACAGTGCTGAAGGACCCTGTGTTGAAACCATGGGGACCATATCCACTGATTGCCAATGAGAAGGATCCGGTACTAATTGTCACCCTCCCAACGTACGACTACATTGTAGTGTTTCCTGACGTTGCAGTTGAGTTTCAAAGGTAACTTTTACACCCCTTTATAAATTCTTACTTTCACGCTGCGTAACGCAATTGCTGATACATCAGATTTTGAAAGTACACATTATGCATCTTCATTAGAAATCTAACAATTGCTGTTCGACCAGACGTAAAAGCATGGTAATAGGAATAAGAAGCACTATATATAATCAACGGAATGAGTTTAAAGAAGAGATTTTTTGAAATTTCCCTAGTTCTACAGTTGATCGCAGCGCAGAATTTTCATGATTCAATTCAGTCGGTGCCAAAATTCCGAATTCTGGTGCGAAAATTGGATCACCTCCGTTCGAATCTGGAAATGAACTATTATTTTCGTGATTATAGTGTGAAGCAGGATCCATCAACATTGGACAGCGAGACGCAGGAATATCTCATGGATCTTGTCGAGGCTGGGGATACCCAAAAGTCGGCTACTTTTCTTTTTTATTATACATTTTTAGTCCACTAGCACATTTGTTCAGATTGACATCAGATGAACAGGAGATGCTATGGCAGAAGCGTTCATACTTGATGCATTTACCGGAAGCGCTACCCCTAGTTCGTTAATGCTGTTCTGAGTATCTAGAAAATGTCCCAGTTCTGTTTTTTTTCAGGTGTTGGCATCTGTTCCCGACTGGGGTTTTTATTTTCTGGCGAATGTATATCAGATTATTGAAGGTTGGGTACCACTGTCACCAGTTCAAGCTATGCAACTTTTGCTTCCACAGTGAGTAATTTTGAACTAGTGCAGTGACCTGCATTTTTCTGGCAAAATTCGAAAGTTCGCGAAATTCTTTATGCTAAAAAGCAATCCAGCGATTAATTATGTTAAATATTATAATTATATCAGTATTGCAGCTCATACTATAATAATGATTATCTTCGTTATCGTGCTATAGTAGTGTTCATACTTGATACTTCCCATGCCTATTCCAGATATCCTGATGTACGAATAAGACAAAAGGCCATCGAGTGGATCATGTGTGCTTCGTCGGACTTTCTATTCAATGCTTTGCCACAACTGGTAGAAGCTCTTCGATTCGAGATCTTTGAGTCATCTTCACTTGCGGTTGCTCTGCTGACACTTTCCTACAAGGACCGTCGATTTGCGTTTGAGATATATTGGTTTGTTTCCAATATTTATTAGCAGGCAGCATCTCTTACTGTCAATTAGACGCTTGAGGTATTCAGGCAGTTGCAACAAAGGATAGATCACTGTGTCGATTTCGCCTACGCGCAGCGCTGTTCTTTGCTTCAAAAGGAGCTGCTAGAGCGCCACGAAGCAGACCATCTAAGGTTCGCGATGCCATGATATTTTTTGATTGAATTATACAATTTTCAATTAATGCACTGAAGGGATGAGATTGCTCGACAACATAAGCTACTGAACGAGCTCGACTGCATTCAAATGGACTTGCGAAGAGAGGAGTCGGACCAAACTCGAGTGAGTCGCCGGTTTTCTTTCTTCTTTTCCTCACAAAGCTGGTCTGCTATCATTATAACACTCTCTGCTTATGGTTGTTAATGAATGCTTTTAACCATTTCTCATTTAGCTTGCACTTCTACGCTCCCGTCTTGGAACTCTGGATGGTGCACTACTCCACCACAATGTTCGTCTCCCTTGCTTGCCATCGTTCAAATGCAGTGGAGTTGTGGTCAAGGACTGCAACATCTTTAATTCCAACGCAAAGCCACTTAAAATTGTATTTCGTGGCCTCAACTCTACGTACTCGATTATTCACAAAGTTAGTTTTCCTCGCATTTGCCCTGGTTAGTTTGACTACTGCCTAGGTCTCCTTACCCTTTCCTTACAGAGTGGGGATGACATGCGGCAGGACGCTTTAGTACTGCAAATGGTTTCGTTTATGAACGGAATTTGGCTCAGCGAACACTTGGATCTGCGGATGATAACATTCAGATGTATGCCTGTTGGATATAGGAAAGGTAGTGAAGCTATGTTAGTTTCTGTTTCATATCTAGGCTCAGAGTCCGGTTGATGAATGGTATTTTTCAATTTCAAGGAATGGCTGAATTGGTGTTGGATTGCGCCACCCTGTGTGAAATTCAGAAAGAGTTCGGAGTGACGGGTGTTTTTAAGGAAGATATTCTCATGAACTGGCTAATGAAACACAACACCACTGAGTTTATGTACAAGCAGGTAAGTTGTCTCGATGCTTCTCGAGTTCAAAGTAATCTGTCTTGCGGTAACAAGAGAAGAAGTGCCCATTAAGCCGATCTGGCTGTTCAAAAAGCTGTTGCTCGAATCTTTCAAGCTATGTCTTTTTGAGGCTCTGGACAATTTTACTCGATCATGTGCTGGATGGTGTGTTGCAACATATGTGCTGGGAATAGGCGATCGTCATAACGACAATATACTAGTAACTACGGCTGGCCATGTGTTCCATATAGACTTCGGAAAGTATATGGGTGATTGGCAGACGGCTGGTGGCTTCAGGAGGTATAATGATTTTCGATATGTATTTTTCGGTATACATGATAATGGTCGATATAATGGTTTTTGCGATATCGTCCGCTTCTTGTCCGCCTACCCTTTTTTCCATTCCTCGTCACTTAAATGCGCTTGGACGATTTACCCTGACAGCAGTTGCCGTAATCTATTAGTGCTATCCTGCATTGTCGTGCGTGTAAGTCCGCTTTACAGTCCAATCATGTTTCATTTTAATATTTGCGCTTGCTCTTTTAGCGTTTTCTGCAAAAGAGCTTCAGTGGAATCAAAGGACGAAGGAATCATAGCGCTTTGGTTGAAAAGAGCCGTCAGTGCGTTTCAATTGGGACTCAGGATATAGGTGGCAGAAACATGTAGTTAGTGCTACTGAACTCTTTCCTTTCGGTCTTATGGAGAGCGTCAAAATGGGCACTTTTCCACTATGTTCTATAGCTCCATGGTTTTGTGTGACCATTCAATGTTCTATCAGGTTTTAAGGGAAAGTCTAGCCGTTTTTGACAGTACAAGTTTCAATGCATTAATTTTGAATTATTTTTGACAACTGCTAATAAACTGGTAGGGGGGGTCGTAGTTTGTTGAAGTTTGTGGTGGGGGGGGGGTCGTACTTGTTTCGGTAGCACGAAATTACATTAATGAGGTGAGAGGCGCAGGAGAAAATTTGCTTTCTGCTGTTTCGTATATACCTCCCCCCCGCTCGACGGTGTTTTTCAGGGAAAAAAATAAGTTATGAGGAAGGGGTCGTATGTAATCTGTCGTGAAGTTCCAACGATAGGACCGATCCTGCTGTCAACCTTCCTCTAGAACCGCTGCTCCCACTTTTTGAAGCCTCGAATAAACACGCTCAGTAAGCGGATGTGCGCGATTTTGTTCTTCTTACTCTTACAGGGCAGAAATGAGCCGAGTCAGCCCATGATAACACTATTAGGCTGGTTTCGCATTTACGAAAAGTGTGCTATGCTGCGATAGACTGGAAAGTAGGGTTGGCGAAAGCTTCGAAGTGATCATAGGGCCTTTGGGTGTCGAACGTTGGTAAAAGCTTGCTGAAAGATTTTATGGAGCCAAATGTGCTCGGAGCAGTTGGGAAGACCGCTACTAGATTAGGCGTAACTTATTTGTGGTTTCAGTCACCTGAAGTAGGGTCCAGAAAAATCTACAAGGGGTTACCGCAATAATAGCGGTACTGAAGAGTCTTCCACTCCCTTTTATCCTAAAAAACGACCCTTCTTCGTACGGGTTTTAATGTGCAGGGAATGAGTTCTTTGCAATAACCTGCGATCCTCTACTGATAGTTCGATCACGACTGTCAATAAAGCAAGGTGAAACTGCACGAAAGAAAAGCTGTCATTACGTGGTCTGCAGGCAGAGCTTTCCGTGCCGAGGTGAATAACTGTCGAGGAATTCTTCGACCATCGCTCTCTGCTATGCGAGAGTAGAGCTGATAGTGAATGTACGCGCCGAGAGCACAGACGGCTCATGGGTGGCGACAGTGAATATCCGGCGCGAGAACGTAAAGGATCAGGCGGAAATCCTCGACGTGCCGTTGAGGAATCCTCGAGCAATATTCACTCTGCTCCGTGCACAGGCGGAACTATCATATTTGGGGGGGGGGGTACTGAACTAAACCACAAACGTTACTCACTAGTTTTCTTACTCATTTACTGCCACTTTTTCAACGGTCCTAATGGCTTCCTAAAGGATAGAAACAAGGGAACCTAACATGATGGTGAAACGTCGCCAAAGTCGTCATCTCTTGAACTCCAGTACTTCAGCGAACGGACTGTTAATCTCATTCAAAGGAATCGTCCACAGAAAAAGCTCCGCCCCCATTCCTTCAGAAAACGATACCTTAAAGCAGTCTTCCACGAAAAGTAGTGATCATTTTGCCTTTTGTGTAGGTTTAGTATTATCAAAACTAACGCTATGTTCTCTTCTTTTTGCTAGCTTCATGAGGCTAGGGGCCTAAGGGGTATCGTTTTTCAGGGTAATGGAGGCGGAGCTTTTTCCGCGAAAGATTCCTTTAATGTTGGCTAGGAAGTCTATATTGTAGTCTATACTGCTTATTTCCATTGAATCATCTCATCATCTCTTCTAGCGTGACGAAATAGGCGAAAACTAAATAGAATGAGATCAACTACATCGTCATTCAAGCCGTAAAGAGACGAAAATTTCTCGTTTGGAAATGTGTGGGAACGAAATGTTAACCGCTGCATCAAAAATAGTGTGAGGCGAAGGAAGCAACTGGGCGCGATTGATCTTTACCTTTCACGCAAACATTTTGCCATTCTTTAAATGTAATTATTCTCAGAGATCGTGTTCCATTCGTCTTTACGGACGAGATGTACCATGTTATCAATGGAGGGAACCAGCAGAAAGAAAGTTATCAAACATTCATCGACTACTGTTGCCAAGCGTTCAACTACTTGCGACGGAACTATACGATCCTTGCCAATCCACTGAAAATGGTGCGTTATCTTCCAATGTGCAGGGGATTTGTGACATTAAATATTTATCTTCAGATGGCTTGCTCAGACATAGCTGGTATGAATGTGGAATCTCTTAACTTTGTGGAGAAGAACCTTATGTTGGAATTGAGCACAACGGATGCTGTGATTCAATTTACCCAACTGATAAATGTGAGCTCATTTGTTTTGAACTCTTACTATTGATATTCTCATGTTTTTCTATGCGTGAGCCACACTCGTTCCTTTTGAAAAGAATAGTTTCAGCACTCTTTGAAGTCGGCTTTTCCTCGGATTAACTTCTTCTTCCACACGTTAGTCCAAGTGATGTCTTCATCTGGGAACTCTGCAAAGAATAACGACAGCATCAGTTTTGTGCCACAGCTGTATACGTATGTTTTGGTTCGGCTGCTCGAGTTCGTAGTCACGTTGCACACGTCGGTTCCGCTTAGAATCGTACAACCATCTGAATGCATGTGCTCTAAAGATTTGCTTGCTTAGACGAAGTAGTGCTTCATGCTTCCAAACTAGTCTAGTGCCAATCAAATGGGCTCCCCAATAAGCAGAGCATAATTGTTCCTGGATTAATTCAACTCAAAGACCATACGAATTTATGTGTGAAAGCGGCTACCCTTGCATCTGCGACAGTTCCACCACACTGCCGCAAGTGTTTCATATGAGCGAATGGTGTTTCAGACAAGCAACCGATGGGAAAATCTCACGAGTGCGAGTGATCACTTTTGAAAAACGTTTCATGCCCAATAAAGTTTATGTGAGTGGCTATTCCTTTTAATGTTGAATTTGCCAGGGGTTCATCAGTGTCTTTGATTTTTAGCTCTACAAAGTTGAAGTGATTCGAGAGTCTGAAATAGTGTCGTCATATGTCTACCGATCCTTCAACGAATTCAATGAATTGTACATAAAACTTCGTAGAAGGTACAGTTAATGATATTGACCGAACAGTAAGATTTAATATAATCCGCACTTGGGAGATGAAGCTCCATTTTTGCTATTTTGTTCCTGTAGGCTACGCATGCAATTGCTTCTCGCCTCTACACATGATTGTTTAGGTTTCCAACTGTGGCGTTCCCACCTTTGAGTTCAGGGACAAGGATGCGGTCCAATGTCCGAGAAGTGGCACAAAGACGGATGGTTGATATCGAATCGTTTTTACGTTATTTATTCAGTTTAAGTCCCGAAATTTGCCACGTGAGTTAAAGCACTATGCAGCATTTTGTCTTAGAATACTATGTCTTAGAATAATATGGAAGTCCAATGTATTGCGCCACATTGATGGAAGTTGCGTGGATAAACTGCTTCCAGCATGCCTTGCCAGAGCCAGGAGTATGTTGGAAGCGGTTCATCCGCGCGACTTCATTCAAGTGCGGAGGTCGCTGCGCTAAGTCCGTAGATCCGCCCAATCAGACGGCCAGATATGAACTGTAACGCACCACCGAAAAAAAACGTCAACCTATTTCCACTATAATCCTTACTATATATAGGTTTGTGAAGAAGTCCCCAAAACACAGTCTCTTTTAGTCTTTTTGATATGCGGTATGCATCAAAATTCATTTCGAATTGCAAGGAATGGGAATGCACAGATAGATTGAACACTGGATGGTGGATCACTGATCATAAGATTAGCAGTCCTCAGCATTACTTTGGCCCGTGGGCATACGCCGTTGCGCGACGAGCGAGAGGTTCTAATCGTGCGCACCTCTGTGAACTAGTTCAGGAAACCTCCAAGAGGGGAAACCTAATTTGCATGTAGTAACCTATTCCTTTTGGCAATTCTTTCTTTCATTTCTCACAGATAGTCTACTTTCAAATGGGTGGAAATTTCAGTGCGATTTGGTGTACACCTTCTTCCACCTGATTCTTCGAGACAGTAACATTCATTCATACATAGGTGTGTTTTGGATTTCACTTTTTGGATCATTTATTAGATCGGTACATGATTTGTGGGTTACCTTGGCTACTCTTCGGTGGCATTAATCTTTGTTTCCTTGATACGCTTATTCAGCAGAGCATACACCATCACTCTAGTAACATATCGCAGGTGCGAGTGTATGTGTTCAATACTTCTTCTACCATCCCATTGAATTCTTTAAAACAATGTGTTCTTGGAGGGGAAATTGGATGTACATTCTGCCAATGATGATTGGGGAAAACTTTTTTTTCATGATGAACTAGATGAGCTAGAGAGGGGAGTAGAGTATCCTCCTCTGGCACAAGTTCGGGGCTGCACGAGGGAGCTGAAGGAAACGTCAGCCCGGAAGTCCCAGCTTCTCATGAATTTTTTTTTCGCAAGGTGCGGTTGGACGATCTCGAAAAAAACAGCCTTTGTCTTGGTTTGCGTCTTCAGCTTTTCGTTTGGAGGCTTCGCCATCAAACTATTTACGTTTGTCTTCAGCACTGACCCCTGGTATTATTGGGTGTTGGTTTTCGGCGCGAGGTCCTCTCGTATTCCACAAACAGCTCAGAACGATTGAATTCGTAAGGGTTTTGGCTGTCAGAACTCTAAAATCATTTGACTAGGCTACTGCTGCTAGTGTACTAGTTAGCACACTGCCCAGTCCACATCATCGGTGAGTATGGTGGATATAATGGGAGGAATTGTGGGAAACCAAAACAGGATTGATGCTTGATCATGTTCCGAGCTGACTGAGTTTTAGCATGTGAGACACAAAGTCCATATTTCCATATCTTCGAAGATGTCTCAATTCTGTCGTCTTGACACACTGGAAGCTTCTGATAGTTACCGTCCACATACCTTTTCAAAGCCGTCGGGTAGAGCACCAAGATTGCCAGTTACGAGGTCGTAGGAGTGTGATTATCTCCAAGAAACCAGCCATTCCTGAGTAGAATGAGCCACTGATGCACCATAGGTTTAAGAATGTGCCTTACCTGTTTTTCGGCTGATTTCGTATGAGGAGTGGCGTTTGGAAGACCTTAATAGGTAGTCATGAAGAAGGAGGTCAAAAGAGGTTCCGAAGAAATTGAAGTACTAGATCAGGAAAGTAACGAGGAAAAGAGGTGGCTAGCTTCTTATTGAGTTCCATTCGTTTGTCAACCTTTTCAACCGTCGGTACACTCATTAGGGAAGATTAGGATTTCCCATAATATTGCTTTTTCTTTTAAGGTACTGAAGAATCAGCCAACGAGTCGCATCGTAGCCAATGCGAAGTGTATCTGAAGATTCAGTATAACGGCAATAAACAACACTCTCAACTTAGCATATTCGTTGGTGAGCGCTCGAGCAGTTATCACATAATTAAAGTATTCATGGATTCGAAATGCCATTGCTGTTTATTTCAGGCCACGTAAAGCACTTAGCATTACTGACAACTGGCCAGGCCCCAGATGCATATGTAAAATCCTATATCCGTCCCGATCCCCAGAATCTCACGAAGAAAAAAACGCAGGTCGTCAAAGCTAGTCAGAACCCTACTTTCAATACAGAGGTTAGTCAATATGAAATAACAAAGATATCATGCATATTAGCAAGCATTTCACCTGATAGCAGCGCTTGATCTCCAAGAATCTCACGGACATTTTCGGACAACTCTTCTTGAAGGTGACTCTACCTGGCGCCAAAACAAATAAAATTGCGGAAATAGCCACGTTATCAACTTAATCTTCATATCATTCTGTCCTACAAATAGATCGTCTTTCAGATGAACTACGATATAGTCGGTGGAGAGAATGTGTTGTCGACTCGAGTTTTAGAAGTGTCGGTGTGGAACTCTGGAGGATTAATGGATAACAACAAGCTGTATTTACTGTATATTCCACTTCAAAAGTTGAGGAACCGACCCGAAGATAGGAAGGGAAATCGCGTTCTAGAAGGGTGGTTTGCATTTGACAAGAATGTTTGAACTTCTTAATATTGATTGATCCCAAATCTCTTGAGGGAGCATTACTCCAATGTACTTTCGGGCTAACTAATTATTTATGTATAGCTTTGTAAATTCGATCACTGATCACAACACTTTGTACAATGCAGGCGTTTAGCCAGCTTTCGTGGATTGTAACATCAGGCTATTATCTGTCGTGCTTAATAATGCATTTCGATTTGTTATACTAAATAGGGCCTTGATACACCTAGATCATAATTATGAGCACAGGCACTTCATTTGTGGCAGAGCAGGAATTCGCCGAACTTTAAAGGAATCTTGCGCGGAAAAATCATGATTCTATCAGCCATAAATCACTGGCTTGAGACTCATAATCCACGATAATAGTGAAAAGAACTGAAGTATTGCTTTCGTTTTGATTAGAAATGCGAAAACTCGAAAGGGCTGCTGCGCGTTTGAACTGCCCACGGACGTCTTTCACGAATGCTGGCGACGGGGATGCTCAAACTTGGTTGTTGGAGTGCATTCACTAGAAGCTCTTTCTGGCCTTCTGCTTCGTTGCATTCACATCTTACACTTCTACTCCATCCTATTCCATCGATCGATTGGTCTCCACTCTCCAAAATCGCGCGCTTTAACCCGAAACTCTCATTGCGTCGCTTGGTACGTAGCCGGCCGTGCGCCGTCTTCTTTCCATGCCTCGCCTAGCTGTGCCTCCTGGTCCTTCGATGGTCCATAACGTGTAGTTTTTGTACGTTTGTTTCTCTTCAGAAACCGAATCTTCATGCGTGAAACTTTGTGTGCTATTTCCAGTGATCACAACTGACATATTCATGTTAGGAAAGAGTGCAAGAATTTCGCGCAAGGTTCCTTTAAGCTTCTTTGTAAAGTGGGCGTGTAGCAGCGCGTATGCATGCTCGGCTTTGGGGGTGCGAGCGTACGGTCGTATGGTACTATAACGAGTAATCTTTCGGGATTTCGTATTCATGAGTTTTTTTTCATTTTAATTTTTTTTCAAACACGGCAAGATAACTTGAAGGTTACTCTGGGAGAAGCGCATTCACACCGCGACTTCGCGTTCCACGCTTGGACCTAATCGAATCATTCCGACTTTTCTCTGAATGAAGTGCTGTACCACTTAATTGTCTAATAATCTCTAATTTTTGCATTATGATCACATATCTTGTAGTCTTCTCGTGTGATTGCTGATAGCCTTACATGGAGCGGTTCCTTTTGTGCTTGTATAACTTTTCAATGTTTGTTTCAAATTCTTTATTCCTATTTCCATATTTGATCGGGTATCCACGAGCAACTGTTAGCTGGTTTTCTTCTTCGCAGCTATATACAAAGTCCTTTGCCATCTGTGATATATTTGGAACGTCGATAATATAGATAAAATATTTCTTTTCGCCTTTACTATACCACACAACATATTACGCTTTGAAATGACGTGTGCGATTTCCCGTTATGTAATCGCACATTCAATCTTCACGTACAGCAACCGGTTCCTGATTCGTCACTTGTGCTTTAAAGAGTCCAAGCCCATTCGCATACATATGCTTATAAAGAAGAAACCTGTTTATGAAAAAGAAATGCTGCACATGTTATGAAATACTACGACTAGTGAAGATGAAAGTCTCCAATCTCATGATTGAGAGAAGCGCTAGTGAATAGGCTTTTGCTACTTTAAAATTCGAAACAAGGGAGGTTGCGAGACTCACAATCAGATTAAACTAAACAAGTGAATCTAGTATTGGCTTGAATCCGTCGTCTTGGCACTAATCCCATCCCTATCAGGGCGAAACCCGTGATCTGCTTGTGTTTCTTACAGAAATACTTTGAGCCGATAGGTTTCCTTCCAGAGTGATTAGCTGTCGATGACTCTTCTAGGTGGATGTGTTCGCCCTACTGAGAGGGGAGGAATCTTTATTTACTGGTCTCAGGTGAGAACTAAATGGATGGCATTGGGAAAAGATCGGGATTTGAAATAGTGGCGAAAGAGCTTGAAATCACTTTCAGCTCTCATATCTATGTAGGAATGGCAAAAAGAGCTTTGCTCATGATACACACCGGCAAGCTCTACCTCGCGCGGGTAACGACGTTCCTTGAAGTCATCCGGCAGAATAGTCCTGAATGTCTCTAAAAGCAAATGAAAGCCCGTCTTCACTGCCCTCAGTCTCAAGAATGCGAAGTCATTGGCTGTTGCCATCAAACACAAAGAGGTCTACCGTTAGTTCAGCACCAAGCAGCTATCTACCTAATTTCTCCAGTCGGTTCACTGGTGGACCTTTTCTAAGGGACAGTATGTAGCTCTGATGGCGCAGGATCGTTGCTGGCCAGCAGTTTGAGAAGAATGGATCGTGATCCGTCTGGGGACTCGTTGAGCTCATCCACATAATATTGCAACATATTACCGAGTCAGGCTCATCGGGTGCCACCACATAGAAAGCTGTTGTAAAACTAACCTACAGTATGGAACGTACTATTCAAAAGAGTCATCCGGTTTGTGTTTGAGGAAATGGTAAAGTCTGTCCTATAGAATAGGCGCTCTACAACAGATGTCGAAGAAATTTGAGGTTGGAGTTGGAGTGTGTCATGTTGAAGTGAAACACCATGGCATCTACCGAGAGGGGTCGTATTAGGGCCTTCATGAATGAGTTGCCGCGGCCATTCCCTCGACGTGATATTCACTTGGGTCCTCTCGGATGGACACACCATCCAGAGCGAATCCAAGGACCATGGCGGGATCGAGCTTCAAACCCGCACCACCTGCTCTGCCTAGATCTACGCCCCCACATACGTACATCTTTGAATGGACACTTTATTTTACTGGCATATTCTCAGAAAATGAAAGGATTGAGGCGCATGAATACGCAAAGATCGGTGACTGATTTTGAGCACTACTAAGGGAGAATGCGCCTCAGGTTGCCGCGCTGCTTTACAGAGATGCAGTCCCACATTTTTGTAACACTGGATTCAAACCAGCGTTTTAAATTTGCTTTGCGATTTTTAAACGGGCTGTGAAGTGAGGAGCGCAACGATAGTAGTCCGGGCTTTCAAGCAGGAGTTCATGAGATCGCTTCCTATGCACGTTTGCTCCTTTGCTTTAGTCGGCAGCATTTCTACGAAAACTTCTATATAGGATAATTGATCAGTGCTTGTCGGCAGTTATCCATTTAATGAGTTGAGCACCGCATTTGCCCATGGTTGCTCATAGCTCACAGTGCCCGTAATGCCAGCGCTAAGCACTTTTGTGTTAGACGAGTAAATTTCGTGGTCAGAATACCAAATCCCCAAACGAACGCTGTTCATGCCAAATCTGTGATTTTAATATGATTTCCGAAAAGCGGGCATTCATTCAATAGCTATGAGCTAGTGATGATTTCAAGGATGAAATCACTTAAAGGCTCTGCTCCATGGAAATGTTTTTGACTGGATAGGTATTTCAAGATTTATCTTTTACATTCCCATATTTCTGAATTTTTCATTGCCAACAAACGTCTATCGCTGTCTGGTCGGCCAACCACGTATTACGAGTTAGACGATCACAGCGCTGACTGCCACATCGTGAAAGTCATAGGTCGAAATCTCACATTCGGGTAGAAATTTGCTAACAGGTAGTTCATGAGTGATTCGACCTTATAAGTGCGAGTATCGAACTTATTTGACTTAAAGCTAGCGTATGTGCTACTGGCGCAAGAACATTCACGAGCAGACATGAATTGAAACCTATAAATAGGCGTCAATACTAGAACCTGGGATGCTGGCTGCAAATATGAAGCTCAAAACTGCTACGTAAACCTGCCAATGAAGTTGTGTGCGATTAAAATGGCCCAGGGTTCGATTCCCTGCGATTACAGAAGTTCTGTATTTCGAGTGGGCGCTTCCAAATTGGTGCCATGCGGCGTCAGTGCCAAGAATAGATCTCATATCCGTATCGCAGCAATCAGTACCACTTGGAAGGAGGCTCTAACCAAAGACCATCATACAACGTAACATCACAACCAGTTTTGACTGTCCATAACATCCTTGGCAGGTTCACGTAGCAGTTTTATTCTCCATATTTGTAACCAGGCCATCAAGCTATTGATTTACCTAGGTCTCAATTGAAAGCTTCATGGAAAGTTGAGAACCAACCCTGGTAAAGGGAACCTTCACGAAGTTGATAGAAGTGTTACAGTCATCTTGCCAAGAGCCAAATTGCTAGCCAACAGAGGTGTTGAGCCATCTATTTCCCAGCTCCGCGTCTGCAGTACTACCAACTGTCCCACAGCTCCACGTTTCCTTCACGCTTTGACCGTCTTCTATGCAAGGCAGCACGGGAAACCTTCACAATCCCGTTCAAAGTCCCGTTTGACAGGCTTGAAAGGCAGATATAAGTCAACCTTCTAAAGTGCATAGGAACATTTACCCCATCTTGGATTGTTATGGCAATCTGAGCCCTAATCTGAGCAATTAGGATTCCTTTGGACACTTCGAGAGCATTGAACAGACATCTGGTAAAAAAGAGATCTTCGAATATTGCTTTTTAATGACCCTTCGGGCGTACTGTTTCGTCAGAGAGTTTGAGCGGAATCAGAGGAAAGCTAGTTTTCGTTATGAAAATTAAAAACCTAAGGATGTAATGTGCCACGGATATCGGAAAAACCGTGAACTTTGTAGCACCTTACCAGTTTATTACGTCTTCCTGTAAAGATCAGAACCCGTCGCGGTCGCACAGTAATGAAATGCGATCAATTCTTTGAATAGATTTGGTGTTTTATGAGTCATTGATCGCATTATTCGATGATCACCTTGAGAAACCGAAAGAACCCATTTAGGGGCAAAGAACATAGTTACGAACTGAATAGTGAGATGTGAGGTTTTCCGGTGTAAACAGAAACGAATAGTACCCATTAGTTCGAATATCTTGGTACGGTCATGGCAAGGAATCACTGTGATCTGAATGATACGAGATAGATCCATATATTGGCATTTCAAGTTCTTATGTTGCATCAGACCGGCAGTTGTATCACTCGTCACCGCCTTCACTGCGCTCTCTACAGATATTCTCCTCTGAAAGTGGAACCCGTTTCACTGATTTATTATTACGCATTTCATCTCATATTTCCCTGCTCTCTCTTTCGTCGGGTAAAGGTTAGACTACTGGGCGACTACCCGTGGAAGGAAGTACTTATTTACTCCATTCACTTATCAGTAATGTACCAGTGAATGGCGTTTTAAACAAACAGCTTGAGCGGTGAGACTCATTCTTCAAGTATGCCCACGCTCTGCTGGTGGAGGTCTATTAGCGAATGTTGTTCTACTGTAGTATACCATTTACATTTGAAATTCTCTGTGTTGACTAGTCACGGCGATAAATTCATACTATTAGATCGATCGTTTTCGTCGGTTACTGATTCTGTGATAACTCGATGAGAGAGTTTTAGCTTACACAAATGAGGTGGATGCCCAGCTTTTCACGGCATGCCAAGTGGACTGCCCTTTCGCCCCCCCCCACACCTCTAGATTGGCTTTACACGTCCCTGGGCCAGATTCCCGATTCTCGTGACCAGATTGTAGGGCGCAGCACTCCCATTACATACATGTCTGGTTAGAATGCGGCATGGCCCCCCCCCCCTAGTTGCTATGCACATTTTTTGCAGGTATTGTATCGACTGACACAAAGGTTTTTGGGCATACGCATATTGATTGCATTGCATTGGCCGCGAGTTCGTTAAGTTCTTAGCATTCCTTACGAATCTCAAACTTATCAAAATTGTTACGTTCTGCCAAGACGCATTGTGCGCGGATGCGGGGGGGGGGGGATGTGGCTCTGTTATAGTCGCTACAGGTATCTAGCTTCTCGCGGAAGGAGGACGTGTAGGGGTTAGGTTAGCAATTTTGCTTTGTGCCAACGAGCGTGTACAGAGAACGAAAATATTTCAAGCGGTTTTGAATGTCTTGTGTGCTGCTCACTGGAGCTCCTCAGTGTGTTGGTAAAGTCTTGCAAGTAAAGGGGTAAGCGAGGATAGTTGTGCATTGATCAGTCTCTTTTTGGAATGCGGCACGCATTCTACTTCAATTTGTACATTCGTAGTGACGTTTGAATGCGATGTGGCCTATACAATGACTTGCAGGGGCCAGCCGATGTACAAGTCAGTGTTTTTATCCTTCCAGACAAGTCTTGTACCAGTCTAGAACAAAGTTGTTTGGAAATGGCTGTATAACACCACAAAGTGAAGATTGCTGCTCGTTTGATAAGACTGAGATGAAAGCGATGTGCCATAAGGTCTAGAAAATGTGATGGCCAATCATTTTGCCCGGAGACAACATTTGAGTTGAGGGGTCTGGTTTAGTCCCATATAAGAAAAAATGTTCCTCTCATCATTCAGTACTCGCGTAGTAACTAGTTAGCGCGCAATAAACTTTGCTAAGTAAGCCGCTTTTTTGGAATTCTCCACACAGTGTTTGGCCCTAGCAGAGGCATAGATGCGTAATGCAACCGGTGCCTGAGTCAATGCTCTCATCCTCCAGGGCAAAAACTGGTACCAGCAGTATGACTGGTACTTACAGATGGAATCGAAGCTGACTCTAGCGCCATTAACATCTTCACTGTCGATTTGTTTTGGCTTACACGTTGAGCGTCAAACTCATATTTGGCTCATAATGTTTCACTGAGAAAGATTGACACAATTTTCTAGCCTTCTTTGTTCGAGCGCAAACGTTTGGCGAACTTCTGCACGTTATGGATCATTAGCTATATAGACAGAGCATTCCAAATCCCAGTTTAACGGAGAAGTACAACAAAGGTGAACAGTTTGCTGGCAAGCGTTAGGTATGAATAATTGCATAGTTGAATTCGGAGATCGCTGTCATGTCTTTGAGCCAGAGTCAGCAGTGCGTTTGCAATTCTGCGAGGCGGGTCCTTGAGGAATTGACACTGCACTTCTAAAGTCACGAGGTAAGAAATTTTTTGGATGTTGGAAAATGTTTAGGAATTTTGAGAATTTGGGAACATTCCAAGAATTTCCATTTCGGCTGTTATATTAAACATCTTCCCCCTTCCAAACCGATTTTTTAGAGGTACATAGTATTATACTTACTAGAAAAGGCATTCAACTTCCCATGGAACTTTTAATTGTGACCCAGACCTGACTCTTCAAACGATAATTACGATTATGGAAACTATAACTGCAAAATGAACCTGCCAAGGAATTTGGTATAAGTCAAGTTGGCTGGAGGTGAAGCATTACGTATTGACCGTGCTCGCCTCCGGGCATTCAAACTCGCCGTGGAGTCTGGTAGTGCTCGGAATTCGCACTTCAACGAGGAAAGAACTTATGACCTCCGGGGTGGAGAGC